TAATTATTTTACCAATGAGGCTGCATGGGTAAATTCCTGAACTGAAATGCCAACAGGACTGGTCTGCAAAAACACTTCTTTTGCTCGGATCTGCTCGAGAGCTCCACAATTTGTTTGATTCTTAGCATCTTATGACGTGATGCACTAAACATACAAATCACAACAGTGTGATCATACAATACTGGGAACAGCCAATGCTGGTCACATCGATGTTCTCATACACGTCAAAGATTAGGAGAGGGTTCATATATTTTTAATTATTATTCAGTGATTCCTCCGAGTACCACTAGAAGTAAGCCCGCGTAACACAATAAAAAGGCATTGTCTGTGTCAGGTTTTTCCTTTTTCAGCTAATGGAGAGCAGGCAGAAGAGGGAGATTCACAAGAGAATCGGTAGACATTTAAAAAAAAAAATGCTGGAGAACAGCAGGTGGGGTTTTGCCGGGGTGGTCTTTGTCTTTTGCAGGTTGGAGTGGAGCAGAAGAAGGAAACTCACAAGGGGAACGGTGAAGATATACTTGACGACCTGGAGCTCAGCAAGCAGGTAGAACAGCTTGAACAAACTGAACAGTGGAGTTAGTTTCCAAAGAAATGTATTGAGATTAAAGACTTGAAATCTTTCTCCTGTATTTTGCAGATCAGAATGGACCACATAGAGGAAAAGGGAATCACACACCTCAGCATCGACTGGATGGTCAGGAATTTAATTTTAAAAAATGACAGACAGATTGATGGGTGCATGGATGGACGTCCTTCCAAGATGAAGGAATCTAGTCTAGTTATCTGTATCAGGATTTTTTTTCAGGAAATGGAGAGAAAGAAGGCAGAAGAGGGAGACTAACAAGAGCATTGGTGGAGAACAGCAGGTAGGTCTTATAGATACACGGATACTGACGGACAGATAGATAGATAGATAGATAGATAGATAGATAGATAGATAGACAGACAGACAGACAGACAGACAGACAGACAGACAGACAGACAGACAGAGCTCTGCTAGTCGTGTCTTTGTCTTTTACAGACTGGAGTGCAGCACCTCAGCAATGACTGGACACTGATGGTCAGGAATATCCTTTGAAAACAGAAAGATGTGTGCATGGATGGATGTCCTTCCGAGAGGAAGGGGGTGGTGGTGGGCATAGGTTGTTAGATGTCTTGTCTGTGGCAGTTATTTACACTGTAGGTAATAAAACCTCAACAGGCAGAGGAGGGAGACTCACAAGACTCACAATGGTGAATATTTTTCCAAAAAGCGCTGGAGAACATTTGTTTATTGCTGGAGATTAGCCAGCAAGTAAAGCTCTGTTAGTCTTGTTTTTGTCTTTTGCAGTTTATACTGGGGCATGTGAAGAAATGGGAATCACACCTCAGCAATGACTGCAAACTGATGGTCTGGTTAGGTAGTTTCTGAATGGATGGATGGATGGATGAATGAAAAATAGATGTCCTTCCAAGAGGAAGGGGGTGGTGGTGGGCTTAGATAGTTAGCTAGATGTCTTGTCTTTGGCAGGTTTTTCTTTTTCAGGTAATAGACACACAACAGGCAGAAGAAGGCAGCTCAGCAGGCATGTAGAGCTCTGTTAGTCATGTCTTTGTCTTCTACAGACTGGAGTGCAGCATGTGGAGACAAATAGGAATCACACACTTCAGCAATGACTGGACACTGATGGTTAGAGGTTAGGTATTTCCTGATTTGATGGATGAATAAATGAAAAATAGATGTCCTTCCAAGAGGAAGAGGGTGGAGGTAAGCATAGATTGTTAGATGTCTTCTCTGTGACAGTTATTTAGACTGTACACTAGGGATGTAACGGTATCAGAATTTCACGGTACGGTAATATCTCGGTATGAATGGCACGGTACGGTATTTATTGAATCATTTACAGGAAAAACAAAACTAATGAAAATACCCCAAAAAAGTGCCAAAAGTGTCAATGACATACAAATTAGCCATCTATCTGTAAGCTTTGAAACAGGAACTTCAATTTTTCAATTTTAATAACAAAAAATTATTAAACCATGTAAAAAAATAAAGTTTCAATTTAGTATTGTTGAAAACTCATCACATTCAACATTTAATCACTCACTCACTTAGATAGAGATGGGTTTTAAGGAAAATTATATAACTATAATCTGGTAAAAGCTGGTATCTCTGGGCATTTACAATGTCCCCTGCAACAGAAAAAAAAAACCCTCTCATTTGGGACTGAGGTTTCTGGGACAGATATTTGACTTGGCCCAGGTTGACTGCAGTGGGTAACGTTGTGCATTGTCTTTTCTCCCACTTGAGAGGACAAGCCATGAGTGAGATAGAGGTCTCTTTGCGGTACAAGTCAATGTCTTCATCAATCTGAACAGTGTGCTGTATTCTGCAGTCCCCATGACTGTTATTAGTCGTATTCCCCAACTTGCAGGCAAGTGCACGCATAGGGCTCAACCTGTGCAGTGCACATGCCCTTTTTAGTCTTGGATAGAAAGTGCCCTTCCAAAACGATTAAAAGTGCCCCCGCGACGCGACACACCCGCCGTCCCGCCCGACGCGACAACACCGCTATTCAGTACACACGTGGCGTCAACAACACCCCCAACCGAAATGCTTCCATACATCCGATTTAAAACCCGCTTTAGGTTCGATCATTTCCAGCTCTTTTTCATCCCCACTATTAGCAGCACACTCCATTTCCGCATTACTGGATATGTAGCGACAACAGACCGCAAAGGATGATGACCATGCCTGGGCTGATGGGAATTGTAGTTTCCGCTACCTCCCATTCGCTTTATTCGCCTGAGCAAATTTTCTCAGAAGACCTATTGTTTTATCGAGTCATGCGACTACGGTAATATTGAAAAAAATTGCTATAGAGTGGAGGAACTATGACATCAATTTGTATGTAAAAACCCGGAAGCGAGTTAGCATTTTAGCAATTCCGGTTCCCTCGTCCCAAAGTCAATGGGTTTTTTCAATGGGGTTTCAGTAAAATCGCTTAAATAAGGTTCGTGGCAAACACAAACTTAAGATACTTTCACGTTTTGTTCTAAGACATAAAACACATCAGTTACAGCACACTCTTGAATTTTTAAATCGGTTATGCTTCTTTAAAAATACGGTTGCTATCAAGTTGCTAAATGGGACTACAGGTGGTGTCGGAGACATTACACGTCATCGAGCTGATCTGGTCTGGAGTGCAGCCCGCTTGTGTTGGGCATTTGGATTTGTCTGCTATTTAGGTATTTTCATGAAAATTATTTTATAGTTTGTTGTATTTTTCTAATTGGGAATTCAGATTGTGTGTAGATAATTCCTTCACTTGTAAAGGCTGTCGAGACAGATTCATTTCTTGATCATTTATTTTAATAAACAATGTTATGAACATACTGCTTACTAGTGCAGCCTGTCTCTCTCCTGCTCGCAGTAATGCAAACGTATGAATAAATGTGTCAAATACATGCATGTTAACTGTCATTTTCATGTGATCAAGTGATTTTTCTTATTTTTTTTCTTCATCTAAACACGTGTCATAACTGCAATATTTACACTCCTCCATAAAATGTATAGCAGATGTGACTGTATGGGCTGCTTTTCGCTGTACTTAGTGACACAAAGGGAATATTGAATGTTGCTCTGTGTCCATGATGATGGAACTTGCAGGCATTTGATAGACTTGTTCCTCCTCACGCCACATTTCTGTCGTCTGTTAAGGTAAGCAGGCTGTGTGCACGCGAGCGATACACTTATTTAAATATGTCTTAATATAAAAATATGTAACGTTAGGCAGATTTATATACACAATTTCAAAACTTTTAGAACAACCGTAAAGCAAAACAGATGTATTTCCCACGTAAAAACGATCCAAAAGGCACGTAGGTCTATGTGTTTTTTCGTATTTATTTGTTTATAATATAGAGCGTGGATTATAATATAATAAACAGAGAGATTAACTCTTTGTCATGGACAATATTTCTAAAAATGAGCTTGAAAAGTTGCCTGTAGCAGGGTGGGGCTGACTTCACAGGTGAGCGCCCCGAGGGCTCTGTAGTCCGTTAATAGCCTAATGTTAGCTTTTCAATTCTATCGTTAGTATTTAAGATCCAAAAGTGCTTTAAGTTGTATTGTCGTGTAAGGATTACCCGACTGGACAAAACGTGTAAGTGTAATGAACAGTGTTTGAACACAGAGCTTATTATTTGCAATCTTCGAAAAGCCTATGGGAAATTACCATAGGGATTTTCACGAGGGAACCAGTTTTATGCTAGCAGCCGATTAGCCTACAAAGTGACGTCATAGTTCCTCCACTCTATTGCGGTATGACGATATTTGCAATACCGTTACATCCCTACTGTACACTGTTAACCCTTGCTGTAGATTATGCATTAAATAACCCTAAAATAGTGTTTTGTCGTAATACCTCTAATCCTTTATGTGGCTGTTTATAGAGAAGTGCATTTATATTAAGGCAGAAAACAATGATTCAGGCATTAACACACACATACACAGGCTGTCTTGTTTTACTCTAAACACAAACAAGTTACCTTTTAAGGGAGGTGTGTCTGATTGGGGTTGGAACTAAACTTTGCAGGACACCGGCCCTTCAGGACCCAGTTTGGACATGCCTGATTTAGTGCAATAACACATCCTTAAGTTTGCAATGTCTGAGTTTTTCAGTTTAAAAGTAAATCAGGTTTAAATGGCGAGAGTTCCTGTGGGGACAAAAGTCACACTTCTTTATGTCCCACTGCTTATATACAAACCTTATTTTTCACTTTCACATTAGAGTTTGCAGTGTTTAAATTCATGTTTTAAAAACTGAATGCATATTGCCGAAAACAATAAAAAATAGAAAATTTTATAAAATGCAACATTTTGCATTGTTGGATTGCTTTTGAAACATTTGATGGAGCTGAAATTTAAAATGTAAATGCAATTTTAATTTTTTTTGCTAGAAATAAAAGACAAAATATATTTGCAGTGAACATTAACCAGTCAGATATATTTAAAATGAACAAGATTAAGCCAGTAAATCTAGCAAATATTGTAGTGTTACTTTTGGCCGTTTTGTTACTTGGGTCAAAAGTAACAATGTGCAACTTTTGTTTAAAGTGAAGTTATATTAGGGTTGTTCTGCATTGATACAAAATAACAGCTGTTTTTAAAAAAAAAACACTGTTGTGAATAGTGACTACAGCAAAAATAAACTTTTAAAATTAGATTTTTATGAAAAATGTTACTTTCGTCTTCGCTTTCCCATATTTTTTCAATGGTATGTCCCAAAATCATTTTACAATTGGATTCAAGTTAAGTGAATTCATTTGACATCATAATGAACATCCTGCAAAACTCTCTATGAATCTATTTTTCTAAGAGCATCCCACACTTGATGTGAGCAAAGTGATGCCTGTTAAATATCAACAATGGTTTAAAAACATTATGTAACCCAGATTACTGAAGGGTTATATTTGTACATTTATAAAATAATATAAATGATCAGGGGATAAAACAACATATAACTGTGGATTCATTGTTCTAAAATGTTCTTAATAAGAAATAAATTGTTTAAAAATAATAATGTGAAATATTCACATGTTATTGGTTTAACCAATCAGTGATGTGTGGGAGGGATTTGCGCTTGCTGACGCAGTGGGAAGAGATCGCCAGACTGTGGAGGAAGAGAGAGTGAGATCGCTAGATTTGATGATTTAAACTGTGAAATTAGATTATAACTTTGAAACTAGTTTGAGAAACTTACAGAAAGCTTTCATAGAGAAGTATTTGAAGAGGATTCAGTCGTTAAATTGTTCCTGTGACGATCGATGGGAAAATTGCATCATTGTGTTGTTGAGTGAATATATGGACATGGTGAGTTTAATTACTTTGTAAACACTCTGAATTTAATGTTAAATGACGAACAAACACAGTTTGTAGAGAAACAAGAGTTTATTTTGCTGTTGTGTGATATATACTGTATTTAGTTTTCTCCACGTGTTATTATTTCCCTTCACGTGTATGTTCACATGCATATCGCCTTGTATACATGCCTAAAAAAAAGAGATACAGGTTAATTGTAATGATTATAATGTTATTTGCTTGTATGTGGAAATACTTACCTGATATAATGATATCATTGACTAAATGTAGTCATGCTTTTGGCCTTTTGTACAGGTCAGGTTTTTTTTCTTTGGTGTTTTTGATTGAAGACTGATTCACATTGATGGCGGGCCAACCTATTCGGACACTAGAAAAGGAAACTGGAAATTCACCCTACTGAACCAGGAGAGTACTTTAATACTTTTTATTTTTCCAGCTCAAGGTAAAAGACTGTTTTTTTCCGTTTCTGGATAGAGACTGTTCGTGTTTTTCCCTGAGAACTGATTAAGAAAAAAGACTAATACCAGCGCACGGACACTTGAAAATCAAACTATTTTCCTTTTGAAGTGAAATGAGAAATACTGAGTTTGTTGATTCTGAACAAGTGGTTTTCTTTACATTTTCAATGTAATTTCAATTGAACTTTATTTTGTTTTATTGTGTTTTAATTGTTTTATTGTATTTTGTTAATTTTATTTTGGGGAAAGATCTGCAGAAAAATATATCTATAAACATTTCAAATACTTACCTATATAGTGGTTTCTGTCATTTTTCAGCAAATGCTCATTACCTCCAGTAGACGAATCCTAGGCTTCTGATGTCCAGATTGATTTGATAGTGTAACCTGTTACAATTACATTTCAATAGTAAAAAATCCTGAATGGTTGAAAGTGGAGAGAGGTGTCTGGATGCAGACCTAGTGCAGTGCAATCTGAGCTGCATCCAATGCTTTTTAATGCGCTCACCAAACCCCATCCCTAACCCTACCCCTCACCGTGATGTCACTCACTCCATTGAGTTCATTGTGTCTGGCTTTGCATCGCTGAGTGATGCAATCTCAGCTTGCATCATAAAGGCTGCATCCAGATACTATTGAAAGTGGAAAACTAAAAAAGTATTTTTTGTTTGTTTTGTCACAAATATTTGTAAAAAGTCAGCATAAAGTAGTCTTTGTTTATCAGGAATACATCTTTTATATGACAATAAGACCTATAATCCTTCTGGGCAGCAGTACAGTAAATGTACATTGTACAGCTAATCAATTTTTCTGTATAGGTTATGTATGAAGTTATGATAGCAGAAGTGTAACTTTCAGTAGCATAAAACAATCCAGGAACTCTGAAAATATAAAACTGAAAGAAAAAAGACATTCAAAGATTACTTTTTATTCATACCACATTTAACCCTTTGATGCACACGCTATGTAAAACCACTTCTAATGCACAACATGAGTCTAAAATGACCCACATTTCTTATGTAAGTTCATGCTTGGCTGGGATTTGTTTAGTTTCATCTTTTGAAATCAGTTTATCTCAGTATAAAGCTTTCCTTTATAGAAACACTCCCCAATATACCAACAAAACATGCAAATAAATAAGGATTTGTGAAAAACAAGTTATTGAGAAATTCTTGAAATACCAAGTGAAGAAATTGATTTATTTCAAAGATAGAGAAAGTCAGAAATCAGTCGGGGCACTTTAGACACATATGTCCATCAAAGGGTTAATTGGTGCATTTGCTGTGTGAAGGCTTTGCTGCTACTATTTTATTGTCCTCTCAGAAGTGTCAGGTAAAATCAACTGATCACAAGGCCCATAGACATATGCACAATTCCACATCAGTAATATGAACAGAACTGTTTAGTAAATGTCAAGCTGTTTTTATCCTATAGTAGATTGGAATAACTGTATACTGTTTCCAAATTGCTTTACAAATAAAAGTTGGTGGAAAATGATTGTTAATGTTGTGCTTTTGTATTTATTTATTTTTTTCAGTGTTATAGTATTGTGTATGCAGAGCTCCACGAAGCACAGAAAGAAACCCTCTGCTTGACAAAAAAAGGTAAAAAAACAAAAATATGTACAAACATTTTTTTTTTTTTTTTTTGAATCTGCATAAATTAGTCCTTGTTTATTTGTGCAAATGCAATCAGGAATACATCTTATCTTATGGCAATAGTAAGACTCATAATCCTGCTGCAATTTTTGCAACTTGATGGTAAGTAAATCTTTCAAAAAAATACAAAAATAACCCTCAAATTGCTCAAAATGTCCTCTTAGTGAGTATCTTCACACCTGAAAGGGATACTCCTGCAAGTAAAGCAGCAGTGGTCGTGGCAGAGGCAGTTTTGTATGGCAGTCAGTGTGTCTGTTTATAGTGAGTCGAGTGAGGTGCTGTAATGTGGGAAAGGCTTGAGGCCTGTGAAGAGGCTTTCTGAGCTTCAGTAGTATCCCAGTGTCCTTTGCCACCATATGATGGTGGTCCTCTGCTTTTTTCTCCTCTTCGGGACGTGCGGATGAATAGTGGTGCACGAGACTAGGAAGAGCAGAAAAGGACAGCAGGCAGGACCGAGCTGGAAAACTGGAATCCAGACGGAATCGGCCGCTGTCGTACTCTATGCGGATGTTAGTAGGGCCTCTCCAGGTCTGTACAGAGAGGGTAAAGAGGTAAAGCGGATGACTGCTGTCCCGCACGAGGAAAGTACCTTCAGGTGCTCCGATTAGGGCAGCCCTCGCATCGCCAGCTGTCAAACCACCCCAGTACCATCCTGAAATACAAACAAACTATATGACGTGTGCAGCTTGGTGAGGTGTGTTCATCATCATAAACTAAATATTACGCAGAACATTCATTCATTTTCCTTGCGCTTAGTCCCGTTTTTATCAGGGGTCACTAAAGTGGAATGAACCGTCAACTATTCCTGCATATGTTTTGCGAAGCGGATGCACATTCTGCTGCAACCCAGTACTGGGAAACACCCATACACATTCACACACACTTATACAATTTTGTTTATCCACTTCACTAATAGCGCATGTCTTTGGACTGTGGGGGAAACCGGACGGAGCAAACCCATGCAAACACGCAAACTCCACATAGAAAAGCCAACTGGCCCAGCCGGGACTCAAATCAGCAACCTTCTTGCTGTGAGGCAACAACAGTGCTAACCACTGAGCCACCGTGCCACCCACAAACAATATTGATAGCAATTAAAAATATGTATATTTCATACACAGTGGTCATTTAAAGTGCTTTACATAAACAGGAATAAAAGACAAGTATAAGAAATTTCAAATAAATACTAAAAACTGAAGAAAATGTGTTAAAACAGGTTATAAAAGAATAAAAACAAAAAAGAAAAACATAAGTGCGATCTGTCGGACGTAGTACAGTGCTCATTCAGTAAAGGCACAGCTAAACAGATTCAGATTGATTTGAACATGCCTAATATTTGAGCTTAATGTCGGTTTAGTTTAACAGCAGCTTGTGAGCCACTACTCATAATAAAGTATCTCTAAAATATAAGATCATAATATCTAAGGCTTTTTGAACCAAAATTATTAGCACTTCTGTAAAATTATATATTTTTTTGTGAAATAACTCCTTATTTACACCACTGTTTATTATAATGTAATAATGTGACTTAACTCTGCCTTCACAGACAAATCATGCTCTATTTAGCTCAGCCCACTGATTCATACTGCTGGTAAATAACTAGAGAGGCAAATAAGCAGCAAACCAAATTATAAAGAAGACAAAACTATGCAGTGACAATATATGGAAAACATGTCCTTCCTTTTCATGGCAACATTAGGAGAAGGCAGATGAACTTTATTTTTAATAATAAGATCAGTTCATTGGTTCGTTTTACTGTGGTTTTGTGGTAATTCAACACTGAAATTTAGAAAGACTGAAACTGAAAGATGACTCTGCGCCCACTATATTGGATTCAGCAGTAAAAGTAGGTAACCTCTTTTAATTCCATGTGCACTATTGCTTTTTTCTTTTAACAGACTGATATAGTGAGTTCATTTGCATTTTAAAGTGAATCACAGCAGTGTCCATCTATAAAGGACGTAAACTGTCAAACATGCATACAGAAGATTTTATTAGTTGGTACACAGCTAAAAACATTTGAATATTTCTAAATATGCTGTAACTCTCAGCCAATAAATCAGTGGGCTTTACTTCAGAATCTACAACTACACCTATTAAAACTGTTATAGGATGAGGGGTCAAATAGGACAGAAGAAACCCCTCTTACTTTTAAATGATGAATTTTTATATTAAAATCATTGAATGTTCTGCCAAAGAATGACAGTGGCTTACACATCGGATGGCCTGACCAAATTAACAGCTAATTATGGTTTTGCAGTGAAACTACTGTAAAATTGCATTAACAGTAAAATAAAGTCATTTTCCATATGTCCTCAAGGTTGTTACCTGAGGTGTTCAGGTGCTGGAAGGTGGTGGTGATGAAGTGAAAGTCCTCAGAGTATGGAGCTGCTTGGTGCTGCTGGGTTTGTTGAACTTCAGATTCACCCCTCTCATTTTGAGAACCTGTACCCCTTGTAACCATTCCTGACTGGTTCCTCTTATGGAAGAAAAAGCATTTCTTAAGAATGATGATTGCATTGTATTATGTTGCCACCAGATTTAAGTTCTACAGGTGAGATAGCAGTGTAAATATAAATAATAATAATTCAGTGTCAAGAACAGGAGAAGGCAGTCAAATGCTGTTTACAAGTTGTAGCATGTTACAAACATGTTATAAAACATTTGATATATTTTATATAGATAAGCATATATGGTATTGAAAAGTCTGTAAGTTTATTTTTGTTTCAAGATCTGTCTTAATGAGAAATACTAAAGAAAAACATTTTTTTAATTATATTAAAAATTAATATAATTAATTATTAATATAATTACTTTTAATTATTATATAAAAAAATTTCTGTTATACCGATCCTAAGGTATGCGTTTGATTTTTTATTTACTTTATTTGTTTGTTTGTTTGTTTTTTAGGACAACAGTATCTCCAGCAGGAAAAAAAATGCCCAAAAGTTTCATTTTAAATTGTAAAGAAATCTGTGTTTTTGAAACTAATGAAGACAGCAGAAGTCTATGATTCATTTGTATTATTTAGCCTGACATATTTACTACTCCAAAATAATTTAATCTTTCAAAAAAAAAAAAAATATTGTCTTCAGAGGGAAATTATTTTGTTGTTTTTTACCCAGACATTATTTTAGAGTAGTAATCACAATATAGTGAAACCGTGATATTTTTATCCAAGGTTATCATACCATTATAATCTTATACTGAACCATGCCTATTTGAAATCACTGGAAGGAGAGTACTGTAAATAGTGAGTACAGTTTAATTTTTTTGTGAACTGTCCCTATAAGTGAGAAACATAAACACTCATTTCTTAGAAGCTCGGGTAGGGTGACATTTAAAAAAGGAAGTAAATACTTTCTCTTTAAATGTTAACAAAAGAGTTTACATACAACGCTTTTAGAGATTATAGGACAACTGGAGACATCAATGTTTTTTTTCTACAAACACCAAGTCTATAGACTCTCTTACCGGCTTGTTTGATATTTAGACAAAAAAGTAAATCATAAACCACACACACACAAACCATGTCCATAAAATGTTTATAATAAATGACATCAATCAGATTCAAGTCTGAATTACAATCGCACACCTTTTAAAAATAACAAACTATCTAAATAAATTAAATATTATATATTTTGTGCGCCTTTACTTAACGAAAATTTTATGTTCATAACTTATGTTCAAAACCATGCACATGCTGCTCCTTCAGATTAACCACAAACCAATACATTTTCCAACTAAATAAACTAAACTCAAAAAACTATATTGCTTGTTCAGACTACTTATTAAAAATGAGCTGAAACAACACAACTCTTGAGATTTCATTGAGACAACTACATTTTTTGAATGTTCAATCCACATAAATGTGTTAAAATTGTTAACTTAATCAATTTGTGTTGGGACATGAATTAATAGTGTGGAACAGTGCATTTTTACAGTATAAAGCTTATATATATATATATATATATATATATAAACCTTAAATTATTCAAGCCTTTACCAAACATCTACACTTCAGTGGATCTTGTATGCATGTGTGAAGTTTAAAACTGATTCAATGTGCTTTGAAATTTTTATAATTGTGCTGAGAAGAACATACAGTTTAAAGTCTTATTCCTCGTGGTGAATAGCAAACTTAGATAAAACAGAACAAAATAGAACAAAATCTAACATTTCGAAACATCAGCAGCTTTGCAAGTGGGTTTGGAATAAACAAGATGTGTTCAACACGTAAATAGTAATTTAATCACACTCTAAAAAACGCTGGGTTGGTTTTTTAACCCAAATGCTGGGTTGAGACTGCTGGGTAACAAAATTGGGTTGATTCAACCCAGCAGTTTTTAGAGTGCATACATAACGTACATGACGTAACCTCATTTGATCAAAACTACAGTGAACCTATCGAACGGGTTTGGCCGCTTTATGCACTTCCTAAAAAGAACCAGGAATTTTTGAAAGTACAAAACATTTCTTACCTTTGTGGGCATTAAAATCGTCACCTCCTGTACGTCACCAATGGACAGCAGAATGTGAGGTGACAGTTAGAAATTTGACACACTGTAAAATCAACGCGAATACAAGTCCTGTCGTGAGCCAAAACTGCTGACATGATTGTTCCAGCAAGACTATAATGAGGACAAACCCGTCCACAAATCGTGAAGACTTCAACAGTGTATATTGGAAACAAGAACAATCCCTAAAAACTGAAAGAGTCGGATATTCTCGAGGGAGTCGCGAGGGCCAAACTCTGACGCAAAACAACACAAAAAAGCTTCGCAGCTGTAGTAGTCTAACGAGAGCAATAGGTCGTTTGGCTTGGTGTGTTATTATTTTCCTGAAATAAAAGCGCTGAGAAACGCCTCGGTCGCACGTTTGGCTGTTTGGTGAGTTGACGCAAATTCTAGGAAGCGCGTTCCAAGAAGCGCGTACATCTGAGCGCGCGCGCGGCCGCATCGCTCCTTCGCAGAACTGCGCTCTCGAGCCGCTGCGCTCCCATTGGCTGCTGCGCGCCGTTGATAAAGCGCCCTGACCGGTTTCAGCTGCGGATGAGTTTCCCGGTAAAGAGCTTTCCAGGAATGCTGAAACAGTGGCTGAAATTGACCTCTGCGCCTCTTGCTGCAGCATTGCACTGAGAGATCCCTGATGATGGTGATTATGCATGGGGTGGTGTGACTGCAAGGTAAGTCGGATTCCAGAAAATGTGAACTGCCAGAATAGTTGTTATGTATCTAACATCCTGCTTAAGGATAGTGCTGGTTGGGTTTCAAAAACACACACTGGAAAGCAATACATGGAAAACTAAACGAATAACTAAATAATATATTTCTAAATGTTATATTATAAAACATAATTTGGTAACACTTTAGAATAATTGTCAATTAGTTAATGCATTTACTAAAATTAACTAAGTATGATTATTCTTGTAAAGCATTTATTTTTGATTATAGATCAACATTAAATATACATTAATAAAAACCACATTTTGCTTTTTAACATTAGTTAATGCACTGTTAATTGACTTAAACTAACATTTAACTTACATAAATAATATTAACTAGATAAATTAATACCGTAATAAATGTATTTCTAATTGTTTGGTTATGCTAGTAAATACATTTACTAAAATTAACTATAATGGACCATTATTTTAATGTGTTGCAAAATAATTTTAATGTCTGACAATTTTTATTGTGTTTTTACTGAACTTTAAATGTACGTGGATCAAATGTACTACTTTTTATGAATTCAGTGTGATTTGTGTAATGTTTTTCAGCTTTACAGTTATTAGATCAGGGGTTTTAAAACTGTTTGTTTGGGAGTGCTCTGGTTCCATGTAGTGTTTGGAGAATAAGCATTTACAGCTGTAAAACAATATAAAGATAAATCATAATTAAAATAAATAAAATGATGATTTAATAAAATAATTAAATATACCATTTAATTCAGTTGGAAAATAATGTATGGTAAGAAACTCGAAAATATTATTTTAAGCCCAGTTTAAAAATCCCTGCATTAGATACTTATTCAACTTTAATATATAATATAACTGAAATATATACAGTTAGAGGCAAAATAATTAGCCTTCATGTAAACTTTCAATTCTCATAAAAATAATTATTTGTTGTGCTGTTTAACAGAGGAAAGGCATTTTTAATCATAATAATAATCAGTTTATAATAATTATTATTATTTTTTCTTTTTTTAGCCATAATGACATTACATAACATTTTACAAGTTATTTTGCAAGATATTCAGCTTAAAGTGCAATAAATTCCTAATATTTACTCTCAAAAATATGCAGAAAAAATTTAAAGGAAGAAATAAAAAATATTATATGAAATACTGTGAAACTTTTTTTGCTTCATTAAACATAACACACAAAAACATCGTTTTTTTTAAGTCAAAATGTGCTCTGTTAAATGGTTGAGCGCCCTGATAAAATTACTTTTAACAAGACAAGAAAAGATTTAATAAGACAGATTAATGTATTTTATTGGGAATTATTACATAAAAATCATCACCTAAACAACACCTTTATGTGGCCTTGTAAACCATGCCAGAATATGTATCAGAGTGAAAGGAGATTATCAAAGTCAAACATAAAAAATGATAACAAGGAAAGGTACAGCTTAAGCAAGAAACTGGCTACAGAGAAATGAGGGTGAAATGAAACGTGTATTAGATGTCATTTAAAATGTTTTGTTTTTACTGTAGGCCTATGAGTCTAGCTCTCATCTCCATTCTCTCCAGCTCCTCTGATGAGCCGCTTGTTCCCTCGTTTCCCTGTTGGGCCTTTTGGCTTGCTGAAGGCTTGCCTCAGCGCATGGTGTTTCGGGTATACCTCTTCATACAGAAAATCCTCCGTCAGCCCGTCTCCACTTTCAATCTCCATCTACATACATACATACATACATACACACACACACACACACAGTGAGAGATTACTTAAATTACCTAAAGAATTAAAAGTAAATGTCAAAAGGTAGCTTTGTGAACTTTCACTAACTTGAAAATTGTGGGAGCAGTACAATTAAAAACAAATTAAATATATCAAAAGTAAAGTAATTTCATCATAGAATGATTTCTGGATGATCATGTGACTAAAGACTGCACTGTAAAACCTTAAATCAGCAGTTTTCTGTATTTTGTGATTCATGTTTTTGTTTTTTCCATATTTATTTAGGCTTTTAAATTGGATTATGGGACCTTGATCTTTCTTTCAATAACATTTAACCTTGAAACTTTAAAAAAAAAGTGACTTTCATTGACATTTTTATTAGTTTAAAGTGATATATTGTCTGGGTCGGTGTATATTATGTGTATATTATTGTATATTATGCTACAAAAACCTTATAAAAAATCTTTATTTTATGTTACTTTTAGACTTATTACTCTACATATTATTTATATTTTTTCAAACTACAAAAAATTTAATAAAAGTCACTTTGTCAAACTGTAGAGTTGAGTTTTAAGCATCAAAAGTCGACAAAGCAGAGATCAAGGTCCTATAATTTAATTCACAACCATAAATAAATGGAAACTGGTAATTAACAATTTTTTATGGTGGAGTGATAATGCTAAAATGTTCTTAGTGATGGTAATAAATTATATTTTTAAATATATTAAATAGAATAATATTTTAAAATAGTTCCCTTTACAGTGTTTGTTGATCAAATAAATGTGCATAAGAAGCTTTCTTCAAAATCATTGGAAAAAAACACTACCAAACCAAATAGTTTGAAGGGTAACGACTATAAAAATGATCGATAATATATAAAAAGCAATAAATAAATGTGACAATTTTGCAAAAATAATTCCATACAATGCAAATATATTTTAATAATGTAATCATTATTATTATGCATCTATTCAATAATTTTCCTTCAGGTTTGTCCCTTTATTCATCAGTGGTCACCACAGTGGAATGAGCCGCCAACTTATCCAGCATAGGTTTTACATAGTGGATGCCCATCCAGCTGCAACCCAGTACTGGGATACATCCAAACACTCTCATTCACACACATACACTACGGACAATTTCAGTTAATTCAATTCACCAATATAGCGCATGTCTTTAGACTTGTGGGGGGAAACCGGAGTACCCGGAGGAAACCCACGCCAACACAGCGAGAACATGCAAACTCCACACAAAATCATTTTCTTTATCAATGCAAAAATGATGTTGTTTTCCATGTTTAGAGCTGGCAATGTTCTTCCCAGTATATAGATTGATAATTGACTGCATCTTGAACAGAATTGTATCTACTCACACTTGTAATTTTATTGTGCATGTTTGTTTGGATGGCCATGTGGGTTTTTTAGTGTTGCTGTAATTTGTTTAGATCAGGGGTGTCTAAACTCGGTCCTGGTGGGCCAGTGTAGAGTTTTGTTTTTCTCAGAAACCTCATGAAAACTTGAACAATATATAAAAACACTGTAAAACTGCTTCATTTATGTCTTACAATTGCATAATGGGAGCTTGGTCTCTGCTCAAACAACTTTTGATGTTAAAAAATTTATCGATTTATTCATTATTTTTTCAGCTTAGTCCCTTTATTAATCTGTATTCCCCACAGTGGAATGAATCGCCAACTTATCCAGCATATGTTTTACGTAGCGGATGCTCTTTCAGCTGCAATCCAACACGGAAACACCCATACACTCTTTCACACACATACACTACAGCCAATTTGGCTCACCCATTTCATCAATACATCACATGTCTTTTGACTGTGGAGGAAACCAGAGCACCTGGAGGAAACCCACGCAAATGTGGGCAGAACATGTAAACTCCACACAGAAATGCCAACTGACCCAGCCAAGGCTCGAACCAGTGACTTTCTTGCTATGAGGTGATCGTGCTACCCACTGCGCCATTGACATAGTAATGGATTAAAACAGTATATTTTGTGAGACACTATATAAAAATCTTTAATATAGCAGAAGCAACACCACCAACTCATTACTTGGTTTTTATAAAGTAGTTTAGATGACCAAATCATGCATAAACTGTAATTTATTATACTAAAAATGCCTATTTGAAAAAAAAAATCTAAATTTATAAGGCCAGAGATCAAGGTACCAATTTGATTATATAAACACTTTATATTTTTACCAGTTTTTAACATTTTTTGTAATTATCATAAATAGTTTAACCGCAAATTTATTCCCCTTTAACACAGCTCACTTTGCTGACAGTTGTTTATAGACTCAACTATGATTTGACAGTATTTTCAGTGGAATGTCCTGAAAAAATTTTAACCCAAACTATTGTGATTTTATTTGTTAGCACAGTAAGAATGTAAAACTTTTAATAACACTATTTATTCATGACAGATTGACCAGTAACATATATATATATATATATATATATATATATATATATATATATATATATATATATATATATTTTTTTTTTTTTATGGGACGGTTTAAAGCAACTATTACATTTTACTGTAGCTACAGCACTCTCAAGTAAAGCTTACACACTACATACTTGTGTATTATGCAATTAACTGTCTATTATATAAAATTTATATGCTTATTATGCCAATCACCATTATGTCTGCAAACCCCTCACCCACCACTGTGTTAATTAAAAAGATAGTTCACACAAAAATAAAAATTCTGCCCTGATTTACTAACCCTCCACTTGTTTCAAACTTGAGTTTCCTTTTTTTCTGTTGGACACAAAGGAAAATGTTGGAGAAAAAAACAGCCATTGACTTCCATAGGGTTTTGTGTTCCTACAATGGATCTCATTAGCTTCTTTTTCCCAACATTCTTCAGAATGTAATATTTTGTGTTCAACAGAAAAAAATTCAAAAGTTCAGAACTGTTTATGTCTGAGTAAATGATGAGGAATAATTCATTTTTGGGTAAACTCTCCCATATAACGTCTGATTTATGAAAATATATGCAAATTAAATATATGAAATGATATGATATATGATATGATTTGATATGATGTGATACAGTATGATATATTATATGATATGATTCAATACAATATGATATATATGATATGATTTGATATAATTTGATATGTTACAATGGGATATATAATATGATATGATTCAATACAATATGATATATATGATATGATTTGATATAATTTGATATGTTACAATGGGATATATAATATGATATGATACGATACAGTGTGATATGGTATGATAGGATTTGATATGATATGATATGGTACGATACAATGTGATATATATATGATACGATGTGATATGTCATATGATATCATACGACATGATACAATATCATACAATATGATGTGATACAATACCATACAATGTGGTATGATATGATATGATTTGATGTGATGTGATATATAATCAGTGCTTAATTTGAGCCGTATAAAGCTAAAGTCATGATAACTATTGGCCCTCAACAATATTTTTATTCAATCAGCTTTCTTATGTTTACAATCACTCTCATTGATTGGTGATTGTTTCGCGCACAGTGAGCAGCGAAAACAAATAATGGCATAGTGACCTGCATAAATAATAATCTGTATTTTCAAAATGGCATAAAGGTAGTCAGGCATTTAATCTTTTAAAACCACAAGTAAATCTGATAATGAGCCTGATCAAAAGATCAAGAAGAAGAAACTGTGCGAATGGATCAGGATAGCTGGAGATAAGTGAAGCAATCTCAAGTCAGACAGAAAACATGACAGTACAGCTAATGTGAGCTCTTCTTGAAGTCTTCTTGAGTGAGTCATTTAATGATTTTTTTTCGCTTGGTACATGATAGTGTAGTGAGCTGAAGAGTGATTGTTCATACGATTTATGTTTGTAGCTTGTTCTTATTATCCATGACTGGCCTATTACGTTATATGGCACAAAATAATTAAAGACAGTTAAGAAATATGATGCTCTTTTTTTGCGCTATCACCGTTTAATGATGTCATGTTCATGGAAAACTGAACTTGTTTGAAGGATGTTGGTCACAGTAACTTTTATTTCCTGGTTTTGTTCTTGGAATTATTCATTTACAAATTAAGCACTGTATACGATACAATGCAATACGATATAATATAATATGATACAATATGATATGATATGATATGATATGATTTGATAAATTTTGCTGTTTACTTTTTTATTTAGATCATCACCTTTCATCAGTTTTGTCCAAATTTATACCCAATATATATTCATATATCCAATGGTTATAATATGTACAGTTGAAGTCAGAATTATTAGCCCCACTTTAATTTTTTTTCTTTTTTAAAATTTTGACAAATGATGTTTAACAGGGCAAGGAAATTTTCACAGTGTGTCTGATAATATTTTTTCTTCTGGAGAAAGTCTTATTGGTTTTATTTTAGATAGAATAAAAACTGTTTTTAATAAAAAAAAAAACAATTTAAGTTCAAAATTATTAGCCCTTTTATACTATATAATTTTTTGATTGTCTACAGAACAAACCATCATTATACAATGGCTTGCCTAATTGCCCTATCCTGTCTAGTTAACCTAATTAACCTAGTTAACCCTTTAAATGTCACTTTAAGCTGTATTGAAGTGTCTTGAAAAATATCTAGTACAATATTATTTACTGTCATCATGACAAAGAAATAATACATCAGTTAATAAAAATGTGTTACTAAAACTATTATGTTTAGAAATGTGTTGAAAAAATCTTCTCTCCATTAAAAAACAGGGGGGCGAATAATTCTATCTTCAACAGTATATATAACCAATTTTTACAATATTTTAAATACACCGTAAAAAAAAATGCTGGGTTCCACACAATTAAATCATGTTCAACACAAATGGATTAGCTTCACTGAACAAATTTAAGTGAATTAAGATAAAACAATTAAGTTGTCCCAAAATAATCTCAAGAGTTGTGTTGTTTCAGCTCAATTTAAATAATTCTTTTAAAATAAAATATTTTGGAGTGTATATATTGCATATATGGCATATATTTAATATATGTGATCAGATTTCTATATGAGATCCCTTTAAGGCTACAACAACTAGAGCATGAAGACTCCCACATTCCACACTTATCAGTTAATTGACTGCATTATCTTGGGTTCTGATGTTCAGCAATTTGTGTTAGTGTACCTTTTTGGCGATCTCTATGTGATAGTCTCTTTCGACCTCATCCAGCAGTCGATTCTTACAGCTGGAGTAGAGCATCCTTTCTTTAATGCTACAGCTATACCCAGGCATGGAGTAGATGAAAACTGCTCCACATATACCAACACAAACATGACCAACATTAGCTTTAAAGACAAAAAACATCAACTGGAACGAGGTCTATAGTGATACTGGCACTAACCTACAGCTTCCAGAGGCTGTCCTTGATGTGCGTGCTTGTAGAGAAAGAAGTGGTATCGCGGGGCATCAGTGGGGATTCTGCTTGGCAGCTCTTTGGTCTCTGTTGGACTAGTGTGGACCAGTTCAATAGTCTCTCGTTCAGTATCTAGCCTCTTAAAGATGATACAAAAAAAGCTTAATATAGTAAAAAACAAACAGCTTAATCATTCACTACCATTCAAAAGCCTGCGTGCAGTACAATCATACACTCAAAAATGTGTTTGCTATTTGTTCAAACCACTTATTTAAAATAAGCTGAAACAACACAATTCTAGAGTTTATTGGCACAATTTAGATGTTTTATGTTCCCTCCTCTTAAATTTATTTGTTAAAAACTCGACTGTCTGGAACCCAGCATTTTTTACAGGGCACATAATTAATTCAGATTGTCCCAACACAAATCAATTAGGCTGTTAATTGAACATAAAACAGTTGAGTTGTCCCAAATAATCTCAAGCTCAAAGTATCAGCTGATTTTAAATACGTAGTTTGAACACACAGCAAAAGATCATTTTTGAGCGTATTTTATAAAACTTAAATTGCATTAATTGTGTTCAGTAATTGTGCAAAGATGGATTTAATTTAATTTATGTTTCTAATAAATGCTGTTCTTTTGAAATAATGTATTCATCAAAAACCCTGAAAAAAGCATCAGTGTTTTCACTAATATATTAGGCAATGCAGTTTTTAACACCTTTAAAAAATACACATTTCTAGAGAAGCAAATCAGCATACTAGAATGATTTCTGAAACATCATGTGACACTGAAGACTGGAGTATACACTCTAAATAGTGCTTAATAGCATGGCTCAAGATTATTTTAAGTGTTACTTGGCACCTATATATTTTCTTTCTTTAAACTTAATATATTTAAAGAATAGCACCTTGACCATCTAAAGAGCAACTAAAGAACTAATATAGTGTTATTTAATATTTTAAAGAGATATTATAGTTAAAGTAAAAACTATACTATACTATACTATACCATTCAACACTACACTACACTATACTTTACAACAATATACTAGACTACACCATACTATACTTTATTACACTACAATATACTACACTACACTATACAATACTATACTACACTATAGTACACTACACTACACTATACTTTACTATACTACACTATACAACACTACACTATAATATACTACACTACACTATACAATACTACACCATACCATACTACACTATACTATACTAAACTATACCATACCATACTACATTATACTATACTGTGCTACACTACACTGCAACATATCAGACCACACCACACCATATTACACTATACTACACTACACTACTCTACACTATACTTTGATATACTCAGCTTCAAGTGGTTTCAAATATTTTTGGAGTTTCTTTCTCCTGTTGAACACAAAACTAAAAAAAATACTGTGGAGGTCAATGGTTACAGGTTTCTAGCTTTCTTAAAACTGTCATGTTTGTGTTTAACAGAATAAAACCACATGAGGGTGAGAATTTTGACTTTTTAGAAACTATCCATTTAAATTGGTTCCCCTATGATTACAAGTCAAAGACACACTTAGCAGTGCTAAAAACATCACATCTACCACAAAGAGGTGTTGAAGAAGTAATTTGTATGTATATGTGTGTGTGTGTGTGTGTGTGTGTGTGTGTGTGTGTGTGTGTGTGTGTGTGTGTGTGTGTGTGTGTGTGTGTGTGTGTGTGTGTGTGTGTGTGTTTTTAAAGACTTTATTTTAATCTTACAGGCACCAAAACTTTAAACAATAGTTTATGTTTATCACCTAATAAATAGTGTAATCGTTGTATAGCCTGTCTTCTTGTATAGCCTGTTGCATGTGTATAGATAGGTATCTTATAGTATGTTGGTTATGCATAGGTTTTTTCTTAATTGCTCATATGTCCAGTGTTGTGTTTGTATTTATGATTTATTTATGTAGCACCCTCGTTTGCAGAGAATCCTGTTTTATTTAATCAGAAAAATACACTAAAACAGCAATATGTCCACTTATATTATTGCCATCATTTCAGTTGAACATTTAACCACAGGATAACCTGTTTTAGTCTGCTTATTTTATGAATTGCTTTTTAATTCTTCACACCATGCACTGGTAAAAATATATGTAAGTGTCAGTCTACACGATTTAGTGAATGTGTGTAGCACTTACTAGTTGAATGTAATTGATGCGCTTGTGTTTAAACTGCTGTAAAGCATGTTTAGCCTCCTCCTGCAATGGGAATGCTAAACCCTGCAAAGTCGGGTTTTTACTCTCCACGTTGATCTCTGTCTGTATCCAAAACACAGAACACACATGAACTCTTTTTATCACGAGACAAACTATGTTAACAATATGTTTTAATCCAAATAGAAAACAACTGGTGCTACCTTTCCTTGCCCACTAACAGTGGCAACAGGGCGAACAATTCTTCGCTCGTCCTAAACAGAAGAATACAAGAGATTTTGAGAAAATCCACTTAAAGGGATAGATCACCCAAAAGGAATATTACCTCATTATTTACTCTCCCTCGTTGTGCTTTTAAACCTATTTGAGTTTATTTCTTCTGTTGAACACAAAAGAAGATATTTTGAAGAATGCTGGTTGCTTGGTAGTAAAACAATACAAGGGAAGTTATCTTGTGTAGTGTACCAATATATTTTAAAGTATCATCTCTTGTGTTCAACAGAACAAAGCAACCAAAGTAGGTTTTAAACAAGTGAAGGGTGAGAAAATAATGACAGAATTGTCAGTCTTGGGTGAACTATGCCTTTAAAAAACACTCCTCCAAACAAATGAACAATAGCACACTTACCCGTGCCACTTTGTCCTGTCATCATGTGCATTATTAAGACACATATTTATACATTAGATATTAGTGTCAGACAAAAAGATTGAGTTTTTTTATGATTTAAACATATATGTGTCCATCCTCACCTCTGTGATTTTGATCTGATGAAGCTGTTGCTCAGCAGTGGTGAGGGGAGCTGGGCAGGAGGAAGAAGACAGGTGTCGTAGATAACCTTGAAAAGAGATGTCTTCCTGCAGGGCGTAATAATAATAAACAATGCTTAGATAGCACATTGTGATATGAAGGAAAAAGTTTAAAGGTGATAGCAGAGCACATGCAAAACAGTAAATATGCTCGGTTTACTGCTGCAAATCTGAAAATATAAATACTTAATCATATAAATAAAACAAATTAAATTAAAGTTAAACTCTAATATCTGATTCCTTAAAGAACCTTCCAGTTCATTATAATTAAAAAAAAATCTTAAAATGTTAATACTAATAAAGAACCATATTCCAATGCTTTTTGTGTGTAATGGAAAGATCATATGGGGATGGAAAGTTTGTTCCAATATGCCAAAAAAATAAAACTTCATTTTTAAGAGTGTGTTATAATTAAGTTAATGAAAGATCACTTGCCAGGAAAATTGTAAAATGTTCCATTGTGATTGGTCAGTCTTGAAATTCAGGTATCAAATAATGTAAAACACTTAATAACAATTGATTATAATTTGTCAGTGGCAAAATCATATTCTGAAAATGTGTTCTTTTGTAAGGTGGTTAAAATGTAAGGTGGGACTTGATTCATCCACTGGGAGTGGACTTGATAGGTTGTTGTTATGTATTATCGGTTGATTTCATTTCAGTGATAGGCCTATCATCGGAGCAAAAAGATGAGGATTATGATGCAAAAATGAAGGATGCTATTTTAATTAAAGGTTAAGTTATGACATGGATTTTTCCTATGACTAAAAAAAAATATAAAAACCTTAGAAAAATATTTTATTTGGTGAGTGGGCAGCACGGTGGCGCAGTGGAAAGCACAATCGCCTCACTGCAAGAAGTTTGCTGGATCGAGCCCCGGCTGGGTCAGTTGTTTCTGTGTGGAGTTTGCATGTTCTCTATATGTTTGCGCGGGTGTGCTCTGGTTTCCCCCACAAGTCCAAAGACATGCGCTATAGGGGAATTGGGTAAGCTAAATTGTCTGTAGTCTATGTGTGTGAATTGGTGTGTGTGGATGTTTCCCAGTAATGGGTTGCAGCTTGAAGGGCATCCACAGCGTAAAGCATATGCTGGATAAGTTTGCGGTTCATTCCACTGTGGCTACCCCAGATTAATAAATGGACTAAGCTGAAAATAAAATAAATGAATGTGGTGAGTGGTGACTTTAAAAAAAAATCATTACATATATACACTACCTGACAAAAGACTTGTCGTCAATCCCAAATGTAAGAGCAACAAATAATAAATTCTAGTTGGTCATTTGGAAAAGTGACAGATTTTTCTGATGAATGGTCTGTTGAACTGCATTCAAATCATCACAAATACTGCAGAAGATTGGAGCCCGCATAGACCCATGATTCCCACAGTCAAGTTTGGTGATGGAAAAATCATGGTTTGGGATTACATTCAGTATGGGTGCGTGCGAGAGATCTGCAAAGTGGTTGGCAGCATCAACAGCCTGAGGTATCAAGACATTTGTGCATTTGTGTGTTCTATACTGTACATTATTTCTGTTAAGTGACAAGACTTTTGTCTGAGCAAAGTCAGATCGTACTGTCCTAATTAAATAATTAAAATCAAGACATGATCATATCTTAATTTGGTAAAATAAGCATGATCTAGAGGCCTTTGCCTTTTATATAAGCCACTTCTGATACCAAATGATCAACTAAGTGAAGTTATTATTTGTTGCTCCTAAATCTTGGATAGGCATCAAGACTTTTTCAGGTAGTGTAGGCCTAAATATAATAAAATTAATTAAAATAAAAAAAATAATAAATAAACACTATCTACATACCTGGACTGTTCCAAACACTTCATCATTTATGTGGCTTCCCCCAAACTCTTTCTTCAGTGTGGCTCGAGTGGCAGCATAAACCATCTTTAACCTCACCTGTGTGGAGTAGAATAAGTGGCCACTGCTGTTATTCAGAAAGGCAACTCACTTGTTTGTTTTACCCAATGGGTAAATATGTCTTTACCCAAAGGGTAAAAATGTCCATTTTATTTATAGAGTGTGAGAGCGCTTCAGTTTATCGTTTGTTTCCTACGTACTGGAGACTGGTCTGGTGACCAGGAGATAAACAGCCACTCATATCCCAGCTGGTTGTGTGAGTCGAGCCGGTACAGGATATAACAGGGTTCCAGGCCATCCAGCATAGGCAAAACACATGCGTCATAGTCCTGATCCCAGCTCTGAGAAACCTCTCTGTATGCTCCCAACACCAGCTGCTCTGAAACACACACACACATACACACGTCATAACACACACAGAGACTACTTACAGGAACCTCAGATAAAAATGTCGGCTATCAGTCTGAATCCAAAAACAGAACAGTTATCAAACACTGCATGTACAACATTCCACAACTCCAAATCTTCAGCTTTTACTTGACATTCTTAAAGGGATAGTTCACCCAAAAATCAAAATTGTGGTTTGAAACTTTATGTTTAAAACATCTTCTTTTGAACAAAGAACGTGATTTTCTGAAATGTTGGGGAAAAATTCAGACAGGGAGAGTAATGATGACAATTTTTATATTTGAGTGCTATCACTTTAAGAGTAAGCAAGTGATCACAAAAAGGTTTGGATTGTTTTGCATTACATAGAAAATCAATCAAAGTACAAAAGTAAATTATTATAATTTTAGCAGTCTCATGAAAATATAATATTAGAGTTGTAAATGACCAAACATGATGAACACCATGCAGTGTGAACTTGTAAACTTCAGGATACAATTAAATTATTAAGGTTTTAAATTGTGGACAAAACTGCAATGAGATAATTACAATGAAAAGAAATAAATTCAAATTACATGTTGTTTCAGTGAGTGTGTGTATATATCATACACACATGACTGTATTGTAATCCCGGAAGATTAAGATGGTCTTCCTGACCAATAACTTTTAATGCTGTCTATATCAAGTGCATGTACTTGGATTTAAGCTTTGCTTTTGTTTCAAATCCATCCATACCATAATCCCGAATCTGATGATATTTTCTAAAACAGCTGTATAAACCAACATCATAATACCCTTATTCACTATAAAGATGTATTCAGGGTGGTGCAGACAAATGCAGACATATTTATTGTGTTTATCAAGTAAGCAAACTATTCTATTCTATATAGTATTAAGTGCATCTTTATTTTTTTTTTTAATTAAGTTTAAAATGTCATATTACACAAAACAGTACAGAGTGTTTTAGTACATTAGTCTATACAACAAAATAAGTGTACTTCCTTAAAGGATGGCAAAACACTAAAAAAGATTATGCTTTAATGCACTTTAAAATTAAAACCTTTTTATTAAGCTTTATTTTTGAATTGTACTTTACAGTAAACAGTAATGAAAGTGTACCCACTTTTAAAATGGCAAATGATTCTTGTTCTGAATATTCATGTCAAGATATTTTGGTATTTGAACCGAATAAACTAAACTGTTACACAGAATGACATTTCTGTTTATCTTGGTGAAAAACATTTCATGTTCTGATACACACATATATTTGAAAGAGAAAAAAATGGAAAATATTTCAAAATTTTATATATGTAGTACTGTTTAAAGTACTGTTAAGAGAACATTTTTAAACATAATAGTTTTAATAACTCATTTCTTCTTTGACATGATGACATTACACATCTTACTAGTCATTTTGCAAGATACTAGTATTCAGTTTATTGTGTAATGTAAAGGCTTAACTTGGTTAATTAGGCCAGTCATTGGACAAAAGTGGTTTGTTCTGTAGCTAATTGAAAAATATATATCTATTATGGGGGCTATTATTGTCCTTAAAAATACATTTTTCATTTAAGAATTTCTTTAATTCCAGTAAAACTAAAAGATTAAGTTTAATATGTCTTTATCTAGATTAATAAGTCTATCTCTAAAAGAAAAATATAATTGTAAATACTTTGAAAGTTTCCTTGTTCCTTTTACATCATTTGGGGATTTAAAAAAACAATTTCTTGTCCTTTAAGACAATTTTCAAAAACTTTTATGATCCACTTGAAATATTGACTATTCAAATACAAACAATTAACAGTAGCCTGAAACTCATACAGTACAAATGATTAACGTGAACATACATAACTCATGATATATTGCACAAGTTTAATGATATTATTCCAGAGATCCGTATAAAGTGTAATGAGGTAAGAGGTACACTTTACCACTGTATACAGGAATGTGTGAAAGTGGAAACCTTTTGGCAAGGTGAAATAACTGACCAAATTTTATAAAATAAATTACCATTGGATCCTAAAATTTCTTTCCATGGATATATATATCCTGTCAGCCCTCTCTTACAAAGCAAAGAGGTCAGATTTATTATAGACATGTGAATAATACAAGCTAAACGTATTATTGCTATTAATTGGAAAAATATAAATGAACTTAGAATTAGAAAGTGGATTGAAAAAATGGCGTTACATATGTCAATGAAAAAGATCACGTTAAGTCAAAAAGAACCAAAATGTGTTTGAAGATATCTGGAGACCTTTTAAGAACTTCCTAAAGTACAATGTAAATGTTGGCAGTCTGCTACAACAACAATAAGCTAAGAGGGAATAGGGGGAGTATCATGGTCTAAACATAAACTCGGAAAACACTCTTTACCTGATTTAAACATTTTCTTTCTTTCTTTTTTTATTTTTTTTAAGGGAATGGGTTGATGGGAGATAGAATAGGGTGTAAAAAGTTTGCTGTGTCTTCATGATCATTATTTTGTAACTGTATAATCTGTTGTGATATGCAAATTTTTAAAAAAGTAATAAATATATTGTACAAAAAAAAGTTGACTACAATGTTGAACAGCTACTCCTACTCACCGCTCCTTATAACAATCTTCAGTGCTCTGAAAGCTCCTCTTCTGGCCTTTATGAGGAACTCTCTTAAGTCTGAAGTTGCTGGTTTCAGCAGAGAGATATGAGGATACAACAAAGATCATACAACAATCATAAAACAGAGCGTAATAATAATAAACTCAATATATCATAACTCATAGATAATCTTAAATAACAGCATTTTGTTTTTTTGACTAAGAAAACGGACTGAAACAAAGGAAATGTTACACTGCTTCCACACTGTGCCTCATTCTTGGCCTCACCATGGCAACAGGGCATCAGGACTCATAAATGATGTAGGTGCAGGTGAGACGGATGAGGAGCGGCGCTTCCGCCCGTCAGCTTAAATTACCTCCCATCATCATCATCATCATCATTCACATAAAACAGACTAATATTATCACTCCGTTTTCAAAAGCTATATCTACACAACAACATATACTACTGTGAGCAAAAGTTTGGTTTCTAATACTTGAGCAGAGCTACTGAAATTTCTATTCAAAACAACAACAGTTTTAAATAAATCATTTTCATTTGACTTCACATTAATGGATAATCTACGAAAAGTTCATGCAAGTGTATTGATGCAACCTTTAGGTAATGTAATTACAAATGTCTTTCATTTTGCACTTTAATGCAGATTATTATTTTTTTTTGTTCACTAACATGTATACTATGATGTATACAAAAAATAAAACTGCAACATTTTATAATAAGGTTGTATTAGTTAATGTCAGTTAATGTATTTACTAACATAAACAAACTTTAAACAATCAACTTAATTTAATGGAAAAACAGTTGTTCATTGTTAGTGCTTAATTCACAGTGTTTATTTTGTAAAGTGTAATAACAACAAAATAAACAACAGAAATCATAGATAAATTGTAATAGCTGCTTTATTGATTTAATAATGCAAATTATATTAATTATAAAGGAAACTGCATTGGTCCTGTGGGTCACAACTGGTCGTTTTACCTTCTATTGGTGGTATATTTAATTTAATAGGCCTCAGAGCACATTAGAGACCATTAAAATGTATGCTAACACTTAGTTTATGTCACAATTGATGTTAACTACTGGCTTATTAGTGCCTATTATTAAGGTAACTGTTTATTAGTAGTTATAAAGTATGATGTTATTCTGCACCTGTAGTTTTATCCAAAACCTAACCCCAACTTTTACCTCAATAACTATTAATAAACAGTTAATTAGTAGTTTATTAAGCTAGTAAGGTTAGATAATGGTTTATTAATATCGTGAATTGTGGCCAAAACTAAAGTGTTACCAAATTAATCAACAGATATAATTTGATGATTTGCAATGGTTTAAAGAGTATTTTTTAAGAGTATTGATGAAATCGTGCTTACCGTGAATCCCCGTCTGATGTGACATCCTGAACCCCGTTGATGCTCCAGCTCAGTAGTGAATTCCAGTTGAGACTCCCAGGTTGTCCTTCTCTATTGTCTTCTTCAGTGGCACTGCTATCTGTGCCCAGCACTGTGGTCCTGCTCACTTCCGCGCAATGACATCAACGCCCCTTGAGCATCTTACCTGGGGAATCCTGTTGGAAACTCGATCTGCGGAACTGAGAAAGATGTGTAGCCTAATATTACACCTGTCAGGGGGAAGAATGGCTTCCAGCACACCTCCTATCCAGTATTATTCACCCGTCATTGATGGCCCTTATGTGCTATAAAGTGGATGACAGCATCTGATATCTGTGTTGATGAGGCCAATGTCACACAAAACTGAAGTGGCCTACTGTTACTGAGAGTCTGGACATTATCTGTTTCTCTCGCTCTTCCACAAACTGTTATGCAACGCTCCAATTGTGAAAAGAAATGGCACATTTATCGCTCACACACATCGAGGACCTGATAGCAGCATATAAACCGGCGAGCTCAAATTCCAGCAGGCTGACATGAGATACCATGCAGGCGACTGCTGACCCCCAACCAGCAGGACAGAATGTTCATTTAGACGACCCAACTAGCCTTTGAAAAGCATTAGGATGACTAAACTGTCCATTGAGGACTTCTTCAGATTGTGTGTGACTTTTGTTTGGTTTGTTTGAAGGAGAAAGTGTTTGTTGTGTTTCTTAAAAAGTGTTTCCATTCATCAGAGTATAGATAATAGGAAAGAATCGAGATAAATCAGATATTGTTTATGTGTGCAAAGACAGAAAGGTAGAAAAGTGACATACCTGTAAGTTTGCTAGTGTTGGCTTCATGTTTAATTCACTCAGCTGGAGCACAAACCCAGCCATTATTCATTATTCAGGCGCAGCCCTCCCTTCAAAGATGCTCTGCAAACATAGAGTCCCTTTCTTCTTCACACATGGCACACTTTTTTAATATAACATCAACTGTGCGAATGCGATGTAGTACTAGAAGGAATTCAACTAATATATAGGCCACATTCAGTATGTTTTCAGCATCACAATTAGTTTACTGACTGAACTGAAACATTTTTAAAAAACCACTAATTCCATGATTCTTTTTTTATATAGTCAGAAACAAAGTGGGATGAATGTTGTCTAATGCTTAAAACAAATGAAGTGAATCAAAATATAGTGTGAATAAAATAAATATTTTTTCCATACATTTAAATTTAACATTTGGTTAATGGTTCTAAAATTTAACTGGCTGTGAGAATAGTGAGTGATAACAAAACAGCACTCCTCCAACCTCTTCACTTTTGTATCACTCTGGCAACAGCTGTCAGTGATGGTGGAGGACTAAGCTCACAATAAATTTGCAATGATGTAGGAGTAAAGACTTGATGTAGTTGCAAATTTAAAAATGTGCAGGCGTTTATTGCTTTCCACTTAGAGCAGAATTGCCACTGACACCTATTCTGGAATCTACCATTGGTTCTTATGTATGTCTCTGTAGTGGTTAAATTCATTCATTTATTTTCTTTTCGGCTTAATCCCTTTCTTAATCTAGGGTAGCCACAGCGGAATGAACCGCCAACTTATCCAGCATATCTTTAAAGCAGCGGATGCCCTTCCAGACGCAACCCATCACTGGGAAACGTCCATACGCACTCATACACTACGGACAATTTAGCCTGCATGTCTTTGGACTTGTGGGGGAAACTGCATGCAAACACAGGGAAAACATGCAAACTCCACACAGAAACGTCAACTGACCCAGCCGAGACTCGAACCAGCGACTTTCTTGCTGTGCTGTGAACTCGCTACCCACTGCGCCACCGTGCAGCCTCTGCAGTGGGTAAATATTAAATATAATTAATTTTGGGCATATGCATGATTTAAAATTTGCTCCAGAGCAAATAGGTTTGACAGATGGGAAGATCAGTTTGATAACTTTATATAAAATAAATATCAAAAGTGGACCATTGTTCTTTTGACTTATTTGCTAAGCAATTATATTTTACAGAAATAATAGTTGTATTTAATAAAACAATTGTGTATTGCAAAAAGATCTGTGTTACTAGTAGTGATTGACAGGTTATACTATTGTTTCATCATCAGATGGCAACAACAGACTGTGAGTCTGTGTAAAGATATTATAAAGGAGGAAAACTAATGGACATTCAAACAAATACTTGTGAGAAAAATTGCTCTAAAGATAATTTTGACTTGAAGAATGGATAAAAAGATTTATTTTTCTCTTTTGTACAATGCTGTAACACAATATAAAAAAACTACATTAATTTATTTTGCTTTGGCATTTATTTGGCTTTAATATTAGTGAAGTTTGGGATGTCATAGCTAAAAACACAGAAACTTCCACTAATGTTACTTGGTTCATGCTGGTTATTTTTAAAGACCCATATTATAATGATAGGCCAATTATTTTTAGGTTTTTGCAACCATAAAATAACATTGCCAGAAAGTTCATGGTAGGTTTTTTTTTAAATAACCTAAAAGTATATTTTCTGAATGTTGTCTTGCTATCTTTAAGCAATTATTTCAGCAGCCAAAATCAAACATTCTGGGAATCAGAAATTAGCTGGGGTCAAACATGTTTGTTTATGCACAAAAACTATCATTTTTAAGTTACCAATAATATAAAATAAAATGCAAAATTATCCCAGTTTTTGTATTTAGCATAGGTCAAAAATGTATACAGGTAATTTTTATATAAATATCTGTATTTGGTGAATGATGATATACTGTGTCATTGTTTTGCCCGTATTTCGAAAATAAAAACATATCGACTGCATATAAGTTATGAATTTGATTGAATTATTAATAACATAATTATTAATAATAATTAATTATTAATTAATTAATTAATAATTAATCCCCCCGAACACACACACTTTATGCCACTACTGTATATCACGCAACCCTGTGACTTTTATTTTGAACTGTAGTTAAGTCATGCTGCCGCTATGCTGTAGGTAGTTTACCCTTGATTATTTGACTTTATCAGTAATTTTTGTATTATATTTATTACATATCTGCCTGTGAGAAATTCAAGATCTCGGAGCATTGGTCGTTGGAAACAGAATTTAACTGAACCATTCATTTTGTGAAAATGCGACACGCACGTGAGGTGACATTTGCGAGACTCATGAGGACATTTGCCGCAGTTTCAGACACCCAGACCGTCGCTTCAAAACACAAAACAGCACCGAAAGCAGCAGACATCGCCAACAGACTCCGGAAAGAGAAAGAGAAAGAAAAAGATGACAAAAACGAGGTTTGTTATGTTTGTTTTTGCAAGTATGTGTTGTTCATCAGATATGTGTGCAACCATTTATGCTCCGTCTATTTTGGTTCCTCGACAAAGGTTCCGGTGTCCCCTCTCCAGTCCAGAGTGAATGAACTCAAGCAGTTTTCTCAGCAGCTGCAGTCTGTGCACCCGAGTGTGTTCGCAAAAGCCCTTTACAGGAGCTCCCTTTATGAAGACCAAAACATAATCGCCATAAATAAACCATATGACGTTCCTTTGCATAGTGAGTATTGAAATGACATCTCAGCAACACTCACCTAATGTTCATTTTGATTAACTTGAATGTACTATAATAATATTTAGAATGTATTTCATGGTACTAGGGATTATAAAAAATTAATTATGCACCATTAATGTCTATGTAAAGCTAAACAAAGAAAGTTCTAATACCTAGATTCTAGGAAATTCTTGGTTTGATTCTGAGTTTTTGAATCAAAAATAAATTGCAGTGCACAGACAGTAGACTGGTGACTTTTGAGATAAGAAATAAAGGAAATTACATTTAATACCAGGGTTTAGCAAATTTTTGTATAGGCGTAGCAGTGCGATATGACGGTATATCGGCACTGGTGTGAGGCATGTGTTAGTGTCCCACCAGTGATGATACACAGCCATATTGCACTGCTACGAGTGTAATATTGCATTTATACAACAGTTCAACAGCATAATCGTGGCAGACAGTATTGCCAGATTGGGTGGTTTTGAATTTGATTGTGCGAGTAAAAATGACAAAATTTGGGCAGTTTTAAAACTTAAATTTTATATCCAACCTATTTAACAAGACATAACTGTGTGCTCCTACTCCATTCAGTTAATAGTGACCAGTGCATAGCGCAAACCGCATGGGCCCACCCGCAAGAGGAGGTGAAGGAAAGTTGTTGAAAGACTCCCTTGACAAATCTGACTCCCCTTCGCGTGCCCTCACATCACACAGCGCCTGCAGTAAAACTCACAGCGGTTTATCATGACACTTTTATCCATCATTTTTTTCCACAATTGACAGCAAGAACAAACATAGAAGCATTGTCTGATTGACAAGCAGCACCTAATTATGTTCAAAACTCCAAATTAAAACGCCAAATGGGAGAAATGTATACCCCATATCGAAAGTAAAACATACTCTAATAGGTAGTGTAATCTGAAATGTGTGGGTGAGATGAAGCAGTGTTTGGATGTAATCCAGTTATGTTGTGGTTCTGTGACTGCTGGTGTTGGTTGCTGTATGGTTAAAAAAATTATGACAGTTAAAGTAACTATGTTAATTTTAAATAAATAAAAATTAAATTAAAAAAATTATCTGATAGTTTGGGCAGGTTTTGGATGACTTTGGGCTGGAAAAACTCAGCTATATCTGGCAACACTGGTTGTGGAACGGAAGTATGACAGGCTGATGGATGCAGACGCATTGTATCTAAGAAATTATAAATATTTAAAATAGGCACTATTCTTATAAATGAACTGCATAGTTGCAATCCAAACCACTACATTCTTGCCTGAAAAAGCCTCAAAAGAACATCAAGTTGTCCAACAACTGCAATATTTGTCAAACTGTCCTGAGTTTTTTGATCTGCTGTCACTCTGTGGACGGAGTAATACACAAGGGTGAGGAGGCTGTACGAGAGTTTTTATTGCAGAATATCACACAGCTATCAGCCAATCAGATTCGAGAACCAGACAGAACTGTTTTATAAATATATAGTAGTGATGGGAAGATCGGATCATTTTGCTGACTCGGAACTTTGAGTCTCGTTCATTATGATGAATGAATCTTTTTTCGTTCCTTTTGTTCAATTTGCCAAAATATTATTAAATGGTTACAAGTTGCTTCCAAACTTATCTACAACTACACCAAACGTTGATTAAGTTTGTCACACTACAAAAAAAATTATAACTAGAAAGCTGTAAGAAAGAGCAAATATTTATTTATTGTTTACCTGCTTGTTTACTTTTTGTCTATGATTATGTCAGCTCACCTCTTCTGACAGGTCTTCAAATTTGAGTGGTTTGCTCACGTCACACAGACCCATATAAGCTTAAATAATGCAAACAGTCTGAGCCGAAAGAAGCCATGTTTAGTTAACTTCTCAAGTCTTCTGGTTTTCGAGTCATTCGTTCATCATGTGACAGCGTGTAAAGAGAGATGACTCAAACCCGAAGACTCGAGAAATGAACGAATCAAATCTTTGTCTGGCTCTAAATGCATATGACTGGCTTCTGATTTTTTACCTCAAGAAATACACATGTGAAGTAGTTTCAGCATTTTTGTGTTTTTATAAATATTAAGAGCCACGAATAGTGCCCATGTTTTCTACTATTTCAGTGGACAGAACATGATGATATGCTAACATCAGTTTTTTCTCCACTTGTCAGATATAAATGGCATCAGAAACAGTATCGCCGAGTGTCTGCCTTTGCTGGCAAAGATCACGGATAATATGCGACCTGGATCACAGTTACATCTTTGCCACAAACTGGAAAAAGAAACTACTGGAGTTTTGATCCTGGCTAAAACAGAGGAAGCTGCTGAACATGTCCAAACGCTCATCCAATCACACAAAGTGGAAATGAAATACTTGTACGTTACAAAAACTTATGTCTAATGATTTTTTTTTTTTTGCTTGTTGATAATGATTCTCACGTACAAAAAAACACTTATTCCCATTTTTTCTCAGGGCAATCACTGTAGGTGTGCCTGTTCCATCTGAAGGAGTGATAGACATTCCTGTTATAGAGAGAGCAGTTGTGGGACCTCAGCCGCACTTTAAGGTGATGTAATACTGTATTCATGACAACAGCTTGATTTAAAAGAGAACATGAGGAGATGACAGGATGCAATGCCTAAGTTAACTTCATCAGAGACATTGCTACAGGAAGTGGACTTATTTTGATTAACAATTAAAAAGATTAAACCCCTGTGAGCCGAACAGGTGATGAGCTGAAAAATGCCCATCAATCTGGTAACTGAAGACTTTACCCAACACTTTACCCAATATTGCACATCTATTTTAGTTTATTTGACCTATTCAATCTCCTTCATTCAGGTGTTTTCTTCATAATTTTATTTAATTTATAATATGTGCAGTTGCGATCAGAATTATTAGCCTCCTGTTGATTTTTTTTTTCACAATTTCTGTTTAACGGAGAGAACATTTCTTTCAACACATTTCAAAACATAATAGTTTTAATAACTCATTTGTAATAACTGATTTATTTTATCTTTGCCATGATGACAGTAAATAATATTTTACTAAATATTTTTCAAGACACTTCTATACAGCTTAAAGTGACATTTAAAAGCTTAACTAGGTTATTAGGTTAACTAGGCAGTTAACTAGGCACTAAGTTATTATATAATAATGGTTTGTTCTGTAGACTATCAGAAAAATGTGTAGACTAAAGGGGCTAATAATTTTGACCTGGTTTTTAAAAAATTAAAAACTGCTTTTATTCTAGTCGAAATAAAACAAATAAGACTTTCTCCAGAAGAAAAAATATTATCAAACATACTGTGAAAATGTCCTTGCTCTGCTAAACATCATTTGTAAAATATTTAAAAGGAAAAAAATTCAAAGGGGGGCTAATAATTCTGATTGCAGCTGTATGTGTATATGCATACAGTTGATGTCAAAATGATTAGCCCTCTTGCAAATTTTGAATTCTTTTTAAAATGTTTCCCAAATTATGTTTAACAGACCAAGGAAATTTTCACCATATTTCCTATAAAGGGGAAGTATATTTTTTATTATGGCTTGGATTTTTCCCTGATTGTCTACAGAACAAACCACTGTTATCTAGTAACTTGCCTAATTATCCTAACTTGCCCAGTAAACATAATACTAGTACCTTTCAAAGTAAAATATTATGTACTCTCATCATGGCAAAGACAAAAGAAATGAGTTATTAGAGATTAGTTTTTAAAACTATTATGTTTAGAAATGTGTTTGGGAAATAATTTTTTAAAAATCCCAGAAGGGAAAATAATTTAGATTAATACTTTTGACTGGTAATTTAAAATATATTACATAAAATGTATTGCTAATACATTTAAACATGTACAATTAGGGAAATAAGCATTAAACACATCACTATTTTTCTCAGAAAACATATTTCTAAAGGTGCTGTTGACTTGAAATTTTCACCGGATGATGGTAACAACCAAAGAGATCCATATATGCACAGAAAACAATATTAATTAGTTTATAAATTAAGTTATGCGTAATGATATTAAATGATGCAGGGGAAAAAAGCATTGAACACATGAAGAAAGGAAGGTGTAGAAAGGCAGTGAAAGCCCAGACAACAGCTGAAATATCTCAGAGGTTATTCAACAACCTTTTGCCCTTCCTTCCTTCCATTGTAAATTACTATCAGCTGCTTCAGTACAGCATCAGCATTAGCAGGATGATGAAGATGAAATCAGAGTGTACAATTCAGCAAGACAATGATCCAAAACACATCCAAGGAAGCTCAAATGCTTTCAGAGAAAGAAAATCAAGCTGTAGAATGGCCCAGCCAATCAACTGACTTGAATCAAATAGAAAATTCAAAATAAAGATCAGATTTAGACGAGACCCACAGAACCATCAAGATTTTTACACTCTGTTGAGGTCTGTAAATAAATCAAACCTGAGCAATTCATGTGACTTCATTCTCCATGTGAAAGGCATCTTTTCTAGCTACCATCACAAAAAAAGCTTCTATATAATGCATTAAATACATTTAAGTAGTTCAGTACTTTCTCTTTGTTTCATTTCATTGTTATTACACAACTAATTAACACATTTTTCAGATTTATTTTCAATTTTATGTTTATATTGTTTGGGTTTTTACCAAAATCTGGTTCAATTCCATGTCAACAGCTGCTTTAGAATATTTTTCCAAAAAAAAAAAACATGATTTGTTGAATACTTTTCCCCCCACTGTACATATTTTTTTCATTCTAATGGTTGTAAAAAGTGACCCTAAACACAACTAAAACCTCATAACTTAAATTAGCATGCTGTCATGAAACTGAGTTAGGGTATTCAATTCAGCCAGGATAGCTTGAAAGTCACAGCTTATCTTGCTTTTTCCCCCCTCGTGTGTCTTGCATTACTATAATTAATGTGAAGTATTTGTTTATTCTGTTAGATGGCTCTGAGTCCGCTGTTTAAAGTGAATGAGGATGGAGATGGAGTGACGAGAGTGCGAGCTCACAGACAGGCACATGCTGCAGTCACACGGTATCAAGTTCTGGACAACACCAGCGGCTGCAGTTTAGTGGAACTCCAGCCTCTCACAGGTATTGACTGACCGTGACTCCTGAAAACTACACCCGACTCAATATTCCTAAGTGGGATGTATAGTCCCTGATAATTATAAATAAAAAGTTTAGATTCTAAAACCTCTAAGTGCCATTTGTCTGTTGTGTGTAGGCTCAGAGGTTTTACTTTTAAATTTTAGGAGAAAATTTCAGATGGTGTTCAGGGGTTTTTGGATCTGAACTCTTCCATTGTAACTAGCTTTGCCTATATATGCTGTAACACCCTCATTTTATTTATGGCTCAATTAACTACCCTTTCGTTGGTGTTGGTGGCTGTTTTTGCCCTATTGACTTTCATTATAATGACATTTTTTGATTGCTAACCCATGACACCATATAATCAGGCATTCTTGATTGTCGGTGGTTTTCCCTCTTGGGAAGGGGTCAAATTTGTCATTTTTACGGATGATCATCTGTTGGCACCATTAACCTTTTAGATTAGGGATGGGCAGACTCGGTCTTGGAGTGCTGGTGTCCTGCAAAGTTTAGCTCCAACTGTTTGATTGATGTTGGAGCTAAACTATGCAGGACACCGGCTCTCCTGGACCAAGTTTGCCCACTTCTGCTTTAGATTAATGGTCTCAAACTTAATTCCTTGAGGGCCACAGCTCTGCATAGTTTTTATTTCAGCCACCTCCAACTGACATCTGCTTAATACTCTATTCACCTTATTGTTTGCGTATGAGCGGGAGCAGCCATTTGAATCTCTTTAATAAGACTTTTGGTCTTATTCACTTCCTTTCATTTTCAGACATTAAAAACAGTTTGTTATGCTGCTTGATGTTGCAAACTGACATTTTCTTTTTATATCATTCTGCTTTGTCTGTGTAATCATGCAAACATTTGTTTGACTGTATTCTGCGGTTTATTGTAAATAGTCATTTCTCCCATAGACAGCTAAGCCTGAATCAGAGGTTCTAAAACAATCGCAAAAATGAGCATACTTCCACATTAAATAGTATGGTCAATAGTAGTCTTGAACACCTTGATTATTTGAATAAACTGTTAAATTAGGGTTGGAGTAAAACTGTGCAGGGCTGCAGCCCTCCAGGAATGGAGTTTGAGACCTATGCTTTAGATAGACCTGAGTTCTATGGAGTATAACAGCACATTATAATTGACATGCATTAATACACTAACATTGTTACGTTCTAAGTACATTTTCTCTAACATATCAAGGTAATTATTATTCTTGCTTCCGTTTTGATACTATTTACGACCCATAATAATACACTTTCTTTTGTTTTTATCTCTTAAAACAAGACAAAAACTAAATAAGAAAGGTACACAGTGCAGTGCATTGTCAAATAAATCAACAAAGATGGCAACAGATAACAAACTCTGATGAAATTACTCATTATTCAGTAAATAAACACTCACAACACATACAGTTGAAGTCAGAATTATTAGCACCCCTAAGTTATTAGCTCCACTGTTTATTTTTTCCCCCAAATTCTGTTTAATAGAGAGATTTTGTTCAACCCATTTCTAAACATAATAGTTTTAATAACTCATTACTAATCACTGATTTATTTTATCTTTGCCATGATGACAGTAAATAATATTTGACTAGATATTTTTCAAGACACTTAAAGTGACATTTAAAGGCTTAGCTAGGTTAACTAGGCAGGTTAGGATAATGAGGCAAGTTATTGTATAACAATGGTTTGTTCTGTAGACTATCAAAAAAAATAAATAGTTTAAAGGGGCTAATATTATTCACCCTAAAATGGTTCATAAAAATGTTAAACTGCTTTTTTTCCAGCCGAAATAAAACAAATCAGACTTTCTCCAGAAGAAAATATTATCAGACATACTGTGAAAATTTCCTTGCTCTGTTAAACATCGTTTGGGAAAAGTTTTAAAAAGAAAAAGAAGTTCAAAGGGGGGCTAATAATTCTGACTTCAACTGTACATTTTACCATGTCCACATATTTATGTCTTTGTTTAGAAAGAAATATTAAAAGAAAATCTGAAATTAGTGATAGGAAAAGTTCTGAATGTGATACATTTTTTCACCAAATGACCAATATGTAATAGGAGAAACTGAAACATGCTGACAAGAATTCATTATTATGTGTGTTTTAGGTGTGAAAAACCAACTTCGAGTGCACATGGCTTTAGCGTTGACCTGCCCCATTCTTGGTGACCATAAATATTCCCACTGGAGCAAACTAGCACCCCAGGTATGATTAATATATTCACTTGTAGATCCTTAAATGAGGATCATCCTATGCTGCTATTCACGTTTGTGGTTGATTTATAGATGCAGTGTGCAGGGTTGGGGAGTAATGGAATACACGTAACTTAATTACCTATTAAAAATACAAAATATGAGTAACTGTATCTTGTTACAGTTACATTTAATATGGGTGGTAATCAAATTAACTACAGCAAACAAGTATTTTGGTGATTACTTTTGAAACTTTAATGTCATTGGTAATTGCCAATCTATGTAAGTGGCTATTAGTAATTGTCTGACGCACTGCAAAAACATTGCGGGGTACAGTTGAGTTTTGTATGTTTATTAACAGTTATTAACAGTGTATGTACAATTTCAACATCATAGATTATGTGCTTTTGTTTGTTTAATGCTGTTCTGAATTTCTGAATAAGCTATTTTACATAAAATAAATCTATATTTGGACTGCACAATATATCATTTCAGCATATATATCACAATGTGTGCATCTGCAATAGTCACATCACATAGATCTACAATGCTGAGTTGACATTACATTGTAGTTTTTACATTTACATATACAAAACAATGAAGCATGCACTGTTTATTTCACTTTTATCTTTGCTTAAGTGCATTTATCTATGCTTGTAATTTGTTTATTGCATGAAATGCATGATACGCTGCATCACAATCATCCCAAACTAATACATTTAGTTACACTTTAAGGACCAATCCATTCTGACCAATTAAAGCACTAGTCAGAATGGTTTGCTAAGAGTGAGAATTGAACCTTAAAATAGTGTAATCAAAAACGCTTTCCAAATAGTGATATTCAATCGTTTGCTGGAATTGTATAGATACAGTATATCGCAAAAACACAAAATATCGCAATCTCTGATTTTTCCGATATCGTGCTGCCCTAATATGTATGTGTGTTTATGTATATATATATATAGTACTTATACACACACTTCTCAAGACAAAATGATAATTAAATTTCCTAAAATGACCATGTTCAAAAGTTTACCTTAAGTTTACCCCCTTATATTGTTTGTGTGATGATTTATGTTTACCCTTATATTGTTTTTTTTTTTCAATTTACAGCGTCTGCATTTTTTACCACTTATTTAAAATGTATACCAATGTGTTTTTGTCTGATTTTGAAATCAACCTTTCGAAAGATTGAGAAACTCAAACAAAACATTTACTAAGAGAAATTATTTTTCTTTCCCAATTGTTTATTTTCTTTTTATTTATTTGTTAATTAGTTCATTTATTTATTTTGACTGGTTGTTTATTTACATTTCAACATTATTTTATTTTCATTTATTTGTTTGTTTCCTATTCCAGCATTATATTATTTTCATTCATTTGTTTGTTTCCATTCATTTATTTATTTATTTTCCTCTTTGGGATTGTTAAAGAAAACGTATAAGTAAATAAGTACAACAAACTCATGTTGCTTTTGATTATTAGAGATTGTTAAAATACTTTACAAATAGAAATTGCACAGATAACTGATGTCCAAAACACTATGAAAAAAACAAACTCATTTAATTTTTCTTCAGAGATTACTTATTTTGAGTCTAACAAAATAGGTTGCAAATGATTTTTTTTGAAGTATATTGTAATCTAGTGGAAAACATTTTAACTTTACACAGGGCACTAATTGAAATACTCATTGAAAAATAACCCTATTGGGGTTATTAAAAATATTAATGACTTAAATATATACAGTAGTCAACATTCAAAGTCAATCAAAAATGTTTCTCAACATTGTCCTAAAATAAAAATGGGTGCTGTTTAATAGTTTTAGAACAACTCTGATGAAAGGGATGATCCACTTCAAATGGTGACTACTGTATCTATACAAATTAGATTAAGGGTTAAAAGTAGCCCACTGACAGTATGTTGCAGACTACCATTCAATTATTTTGTTTTGCCCATGAACGTAGTGTGTGTTAATAATGAATGGTGGTGGTGTTAGTGTGTTTTCTTGAGACATGACTCATTGTCACGTTTAAAGAATGACCACACGAGTCTCACATTTCGGGTTACAGAAGCTGCCTGAGGGTACGCTGCGCCGGCTGGGCCTGGTTCAGAGTAAAACACGATACCTGCCTCTTCATCTACACTCCCGAAGGATCGTCCTGCCAGGATTCAAAGGTCACAGAGACATTACGGTGTCCTGTCCCCTTCCCAAATACTTCATCAACGCATTGAAGAGGCTGGAGATCCCACTGCCGGCAAAAGAATGAGATCTATGATCTCTTCTTACTTTTGCATCGAGGACTGGATTTGACATGGTTGAAACTGGACCTTCTGCTCAGATGTTTTGTATGAAATAAATAAAAGACCAATAAAAATGTTCTGCAAACTAAAGATATAATCAAGTCTTCATTAGTTATCAGTGTCAAAAATAAACAAACCCATATCCTTTAAGGTGAAATACTTGCATATAGATTTATATAAAGACAGTTTTTTATAATTAGACTTTAACTGATTACTTGACAAGCAATCAGAATAATTGGAAGTCACAAATGTAAAAATCTGTTGTTAATTAAAGGGTAGGGCTGCAGTATTATGATACTATGCTCTTGTGTAGACCATCATTTTATACTGTATTCATGCAAACAGGATGTTATGTCATGGCTCTACAGGCTGAACTTCATATCAGTCCATGACGATACAGTAGTGAATTATGCTAAAGATCAAATTAAATTCTGAAACGCCTTTGATTGATCCAATGCTTCAAAAATGTGTGTTCATATACATGCGTGTGCTTTTTTTTTTTTTTAGGTGAAAATATAGTTGTTTTGATTGCAACTATGCAGTTCATTTTTAAGGATAGTGCCTATTTTACATATTTATAATTTTGGAGATGGGCGAAGCAGTGGCGCAGTAGGTAGTGCTGTCACCTCACAGCAAGAAGGTCGCTGGTTCGAGCCTCGGCTCAGTTGTTATTTCTGTGTGGAGTTTGCATGTTCTCGTTGCATTTGCGTGGGTTTCCTCAGAATGCTCCGGTTTCCCCCACAGTCCAAAGAAATGCGGTACAGGTGAATTGGGTAGGCTAAATTGTGTGTAGTGTATGAGTGAGAGTGAAAGTGTGTGTGGATGTTTCCCAGAGATGGGTTGTGGTTTGAAGGGCATCCGCTGCGTAAAAACTTGCTGGATAAGTTGGCGGTTCATTCCACTGTGGCGACCCCAGATTAATAACGGGACTATCCGACAAGAAAAATGATCTTGTAGATACCGCACATCAGCCTGTCATACCAAAGATATCCACAGAGACTGCATATTAAGTCCCTAAAAGAGAAAAACTGCATAATTTCGAACTACAGCTGATCAAATCATTATTAAACAGGTAAGTGACTTTCTAAGTCGATCGCTCTCTTTTGTATGTTGAAGTGCTGTATTTATACCATAGTCTGGTAGTGTTTGCTTTGGCTTTTTCGGGGTTAATTGTTGAGATATCCCGATTTCAACAGAATTACTGGAAAATGTCTCTAGACTGATGGCATTTCATGTTTTTCAGCCTTTAAATCTTATAATGTGAGCAAAATCACCTGTTTTGTCATCATTTTATACATTACTCTAGAGCAGGGGTCACCAATCTCAGTCCTGGAGGGTCGGTGTCCCTGCAGGGTTTAGCTCCAACTTGCCTCCGCACACCTGCCTGGGTGTTTTAAGTATACCTAGTCAGACTTTGATTAGCTTGTTCAGGTGTGTTTGATTAGGGTTGGAGCTAAAATCTGCAGGAATAAGTTTGGTGATCCCTGCGCTAGAGAATCATTTAAATACTACTTTTAAAGTGACGTTGGTAAAATATTAACGGTTTCTGCTGTTCTGACGTCAGCTGCAGATGTGAACGAGTGACGAAAGAAAGTAGTTACTCATACAAAAGGATTTTTAGACTCTCCGTGTTTGATTTTATTTTTATATACACGATTGTGCCGTTGAACTGTTGTATAAATGCCGTATCACACTTGTAGGAAAGCAATATTGTTGTATATCAGCACTGATGGGACTCTTAAGGGTGATTTCAAACTTGTATATTGATTCAGTTGTTCCAAAACAGGATTAAAATTGTTACATTGTTGCTCTTTGTTCTTGGTGCGGTTCACTTTCATACAGCAAAGTTTCTAAACAAACCAAAAGAGATGAAACAAGTCACGTGTGAGTTAACTCTACTCACTTTGGTGAGAGTTTCATGGTTTATTTTGCAGAGTCCCGCTCCACTATCATGCGTCCTTATTTTAATTTATGGCGATGAGCAATGACATTATAAGCAGAAATCTGCACTTTAATTTTTAATGGTGACGCCCACATATGTCGTCACCAGATATAAATCAGAGGTAAGACTCTCTCATGCATAGCCCTTGGCTAGACTGCAGTTCGATCAATGGTCCTAATAGATAAGCAGCTCTTGTTAATAGTTCAGCATGCTTTCAGTTTCATATTTAACATGAAACGTACATTTACCGGTGAGACTGACAATTCGCCCTACTCATAATTCTCTCTTCTTATAGCCATATATGCCTATTACATATCCATAAATCACTGTGATATAGCCGGGCTCGGATCGTTTCGCTCTCACTACAATCGAGCCGAGACCACCTCATTCAGGCGATCTCGGACCGTTTGATTTGGCGCAGATCCGAGCGCGATTACTGGTTTCACATATGCCAAACGAACCGCGCTAACTGGGCAAACGAGACAGGTTCTAAAAAAAAAGCCTAGGTGTGAAAGCACACTAAGACACTCAGCCTGTGGCGACGTGCCAAAGTATGCCTCCCACCAGTCTCAATTCAGTCATATCGCACTGCTACAAGTGTGATATTGCCATAAATAAATATTGTTTATTTGGTTCTTGAATGAATGAGATATTATGAGTTTTATTTTGTCATTTTTAAATCTGAATTTGGAACATTTGGAGCTTTGCTTAAATCCCTTTGTTAATACATTTCTAAATATAATAAAGATTTTTTTAAACCAAATTATATATATATATATAAAATTTTTATATCACCAATAACGTGAAACTTATTTAAAAATCTACAACTTCAAGTTCAGCCCGATCTCATGAGTAAACATAATTTGAAAAGTGGCTAAATTATAAGATTTCATGTTTTAAAGAGAAGCCTGTCCTCAAACCTCACCCCGCTATTGGGCATGAGCAAATTGTACTAAAATGTCAGAATGGCATTATACAAATTAATATGAATTAGCCAATAAACGTAAAAAAAGAAAAAAAGAAAAGGAAAAAAAAAAACGCTTTGGCAAATCCCTCATTTAAATCCTTTGTAAAAACACCTCAGTGTAAATTGCTGCACTTAATTCAACAATGCATGTCATAACTCGATGATCTACTTACAAAGAAATTTATTCTGCCTGTGTGTTGTGTTTGTGTGCCAGACTGCAGAAAGACTCAAAGACAACACACCACAGGTGATTCACTGTACAAAAAGGCATGTTTGAAAACACAGGCTTCAGTTCTCCAGCACCACTATAATATCAATACATATCAGATTACCATAGATGCATGTGTGAGTGTATATATATATATATGTATATAAAAAAAAATCAAATAAAAACAGAACCAAAAAGTCTTGATGTATAATACACTCCTCAGGTACGCAATCTCTGCTACTGCAAAAGCTCCCGGAGGCGAGCGAGGGATGTGTTAACGGTTACAGATGGATGAGGCCATGTTTTTAAACACCTGATGTGTTCCAGTCCACTACCAAAACAAAAATGCCTTAAATCATTCTTCGAAACCACCAGATCCTTAAAGTTCAGCACTTATTGAAAGAAAATGAAACCGGACAGTGGGAGAAGGGATGGAGCGTAACATACATGGCAGAAAGAGAGAAATGCACACATCAAGGGATCTGGGATCTGAATACGTTTCATTAGGCGAACAAACAGAAAGAAGTTCCTGTCTCTAAAAACAAAACAAAACAAAAGGCTTTTATGCACGTAATCCAGCTCATCCAAAACTCCACTTGATTCTCCTTTTAGTGGTGGATGAATATAAAGAGATGCCGCAGAGGAAATGTAATTCAGTCTGTTTGGATGACGCTGGAGATCCATCCATGGATCCATCCATCCATCTTTCACTTCTTTCCTTTTCCCCTTAAGCGTCGTCTCTCATTGAACGCTGGTCTGCGTGATGGAGATAATCTCTTGGATTTCCCGCACCATCATGATGCGTGTTAGCATGTGCTCCAGTTGCTCGCTCGTGATTGGCTGAGTGGAGTACCAGATGGGGCTGTTGGGTGCCACTACAGGCTCCGGCGTCAGGTAATACGTGTCATTGCGACCCTTAGCAGTCTGAGGGCTGACGATAGTCAAATGAAGAAGAGGGGAATATTTTGTAAAGACAGCACTTATTTGTATATTATACCAAAGCCAAGACAGTTAAACAAAAATCGACATGTATGAAAGATTAGCACTAGCATTTTAGCCTCACCATTTAAAGAGGTAAAAGTCATAGAGCTTGATGGGACAGCGCAGCGGGTTCTCGGGGTCTTCAGCCTGTTCTGCGTACATGTCATCAGTCACTGGAACAATGAAAGATATGGATAATTACTTAAGAATTGACACAGTTTGACAAATTTATTTTCATTCATTTGCATTATTTTATATTTCATGGGCATCTGTGGTAGACTAGCATGAATCAGTTTACCCATTTACCAATGCGGTTTGTAGAAACTTCCATGAGCATGTCTGGATATCTAAGGCCATATTTACACTGCAGATCTTGATGGCCAGTTCTAATTTTGTGACTGTTTGGATGTTTTGATGACCAGCTTACATCATTTTTAAAAGTGACCTGTATCTGATTGTCTGTATTTACACGGCACAAGGCAAAAGGTGCAATGAGCAAGTAAAAAAAGAGCGGGCGCTGACTGACAGCTGAAAATTCTTCATTCCTGTATTTAATCTGTTTGCAGGGTTTCATTTTTTATTATTCTTTTTGACAAGTTGTTTTACTATAGTTATGATAGAAAAGCTCTCATTTGGCCATGTTCTTTTAATCTAGGCCCTTTCAGGGTTCTTACACCTTTTCTAACTTCAAATTCCAGCACTTTTCATGCACTTTCAAAGTGCATTTGTATGCTTTTGCAGCACCTAATAACCACGGTTAATTACATTTATATATATTGTATATACTTTTTCACATCTAAATCCATTGTGCTATTTAAAAAAAATTGATGAGCACTTTAGAACATAGGGATAGTTTACCCAAAAATTACCCAAAAATCATTTACCCAAAAATGATTAAAAAATACATTTAAAAAAGTTTAGTTATTCGATGAAGTATGCTTTTAAGTTTGGTCTTTTTCGACCTAAAGTTGATATCTTAAAAAATGAGCTTACAGAAAGATTTTGTTTGGCTGTAGTACCAAACTTTCATGACCAGTCGTTCATGATATTTCATGTGCATTGTTATTGTTTTACAGTCATTGGATTGTCGTTTAAGGTTTGAAAATATGTCTATAAAAATCTGACTTAAAAAATGAAATTGTCTTAAATTTCAAATGTTCAATAATCAAGATAAGAAATACAAATTCAAAACATTTATAATAGGACATAATCAGTATTATTAAATTACAACTGTTAATAAATCAATTTAACACAATTCAAATTCAGATTGTTTTGGCTTATTTTTAGCTTCATAAATGCGCGCATTCGCTGAACATTTTGCAATGAAAACTGGTCGCACGACAACAATTTAT